CACTAGATCTCTTCAAAAGTCACACACTGACTTGCAAATCAGGTAACAGAGACATCTCCATGAAGGGGCCAATTGTGTGGCTGGGACAAAAAAACCCACTGGCCTCTGTTACCTCCTATCCTCTTTCTGACTGCTCTTTCCTTGTCCTTGAACTTAGAGAGAAAGGGGTCTTTGAAAACGTCCATTTTGAAACCACAATGGTATGAGAATCACAGGTCTCTGATTGCTCAACCCTCCTCCAAATCCAAATGCGCATTTACTTTCCTCCTGCCAGAGTGGAAGTTGTGTGAGCACCTGAAGCCTGCCTGGAATCTGAGTCTCCACGCCCTGGTCCCATGACCTGGGTAAGTTAGCTTTCTGGGTCCCGGGCTCTCTATCCCTCCAGGGGGCACCTACCTTCTTGTTGACCTTCTGGGCGGAGGGCTGGGGGAAGCTGGCTGTGTGAGAAGCACAGGGGCTCTGGGGATTTGCTGCTGAGGCCAAAGACTTTGAATTTGGGTGGGGTGACTGGCAGAACTCTTTGCCAGGTTAGAGATGAAACAGAACTCCCAGCTGGGGCTCAAGCAGACCTTAGGGCCCACGCCCCCAGTTCTGAAAGGGCTCTTCTACCCACCCCCTCTACTGCTCGGGTCTGATGCTTGGCTCCGACCCTTGGCATCACCTACCTTACTTGCAGACACAGCCTCATCTAACCCCATCTCCACCCGGGGGCTCGGAGCAACTCCAACAGCCAGAGAAGGCCGGAGGCAGCAGGCCTTGCGGGGCCTCTGGGAGCCTGCACTTCTCTGTCCCAGGAACAGAAACATTCTACAACATGGTGGGAAGTTGCAGAGAAGGGCAGAGCCCTTCCTTATCTTCAGAAAGGAACTCTCCCACCACCTGCTGGGCCTTCCACCTTTCCCCCATCTCACTGGCACCTGCTCTGGTCATTGGTTCTCAGAGCTCCTGGAACCAGCAAGCTCACCAAGTCACTGCCCCTCAAAGATTCCTCAGGCCTACGGAGAAAAGTCTAAACTCTTTGGCTGGCCCTGCAATCCCCCTCCCTCCACCATTATCCAGCCTAAACCTCCTTCCAAATTCATCTAACCCCCTACACAAACTGCACTGAGATTCTAGTTACCATCCCCAATTACCTTCTGCACATGAGACTTTGCTCATGGCTTCCAATTGGCCTAAAATTCTTTGTTTTTATTCTTGACTCGGAAAAACCCCAGGGCCCAGTGCATCAATCATCTGCTCTGTGGAGCCTTCCGCCAGTAAGAACCAGTCCTTTCCCTGAGCTCCCTGTCTGGGTCCATTTAGGACATGTGTATCATGCCTGCACTCCCAGCCTGAGTGGGCTGAGCACTGAAGGGCAGAGTCCCTGCCAGGCTCCCGTGGTGGTGGCCAGCACAGGGCCTGGCACCTGACAGGTAACTAAGCCATGTTTACTGAGTTGACAAAAGTAGCTACACCCTCCTTTTGTTCTCACTTTTTTTTTTTTTTAATTTTTTTTTTCAACGTTTATTTATTTTTGGGACAGAGAGAGACAGAGCATGAACGGGGGAGGGGCAGAGAGAGAGGGAGACACAGAATCGGAAACAGGCTCCAGGCTCTGAGCCATCAGCCCAGAGCCTGACGCGGGGCTTGAACCCACGGACCGCGAGATCGTGACCTGGCTGAAGTCGGACGCTTAACCGACTGCGCCACCCAGGCGCCCCTGTTCTCACTTTTTAAAGCTGTTCATTCATATAATCCTATGTGACAGTGGTCTCAGATCAAATTACAACAGAATAATCTCACAGCAATAGAGCTGGAAGCTTGCTTACTCCTTGCCTAGAGCACTCGTTTCTCCCAAAGCCCAGGCTTCTGGGGAGCGGGGGTACAGGGGAGGGAAGAGGAGACCTAAGCCTCTCGCACCAACACTTCCTCCCAGTCCCCTAGAGCAGTCTCATCAGAGGAACCGTCCGTGGCTGCACAAGGGGAAGTCATGAATAGCAAGAGAGATCTGTCATTCTATGGGGCCTGGGACCCAGGGACCCTAGAGTAGGAATCTGGGTTTTCTAGAAATACGACACTTAATTGAATCTGGAGATAAGACGAGGTTATAAGCTCAGGGCAGCTTAGCCCTGAAGGGAACAACCAACTCCATCATTTCATGGCTGGGGGACACTGAGGCCTAGGGAAGGACAGCAACTAGCCCAAGGTCACACGGAGAGAAAGAGCCAGGGCCAGGGCTGGAACTGCAACATCTAACCTCTTGTGTTTCTCCTGCTAACCTACACTCCCCCTACACTAGCTGTGATTACTTGAGGGCTAGTGAAATGGTATGGTAGTGTTCTTTTCTTTACGGATCACTGTTAAACCACAGTTGGACAATGACAGGTTAAAAAAAAAAAAAAAGGTGTGAAACATTCCACTATTTTTTTTTTTAATACAGAATGTTTTACAAATGTGTGTGTCATTCTTACTCAGGGGCCATGCTAATCTTCTCTGGGTTATTCCAGTGTTAGTATATATATGTGCTGCTGAAGCAAGCACTGAAATGTTCCATTTTTTCTTGATGTTTATTTACTGAGAGAGAGAGAGAGAGAGAGAGAGAGAGAGAGAACACAAGCAAGGGACAGGCACAGAGAGAGAGGGAGAGAGAATCCCAAGCAGAGTCTGGGCTGTCAGTACAGAGTCCGATGTGGGGCTCAATCTCACAAACCATGAGATCATGACGTGAGCCGAGACCAAGAGTCAGAAGTTTAACCGACTGAGCCACCCAGGCACCCCTGAAATTTTTAGTTAAAAATATATATAAATATATGAAATGGAAAATTCCGTTAATTCAATACTATTCATTATCTACTTTCTCTGGGCTGAGCATTGACCTGGGTACTTGGGGGTAAATAGAGGACGAAGGCCCCTGTCTAGTAGGCCACCTGGGAATCCCTTTCTCTGCCCTGCTCGTGGCTTCGAGGTGGCTGGCCAAACCACAAGCTTGATCAGGGAGCCTCCTGCCGCTTGCTACTGTCATCCTGACTGCAGAGGCAAATTCTGAGCATTAAACACACTCCTTAAATGTGCCAAGCATGAAATGCAATGATAAAAACATATTCCACAAGTGAAAGGGGCTCTTCTAGTACTTGATTTCTCTGTTAACTCATTCCATGACACATGTTTCCTACTACCCTAACACAACCAGCTGGATAGAATGGTGGAATTGGCTTTTGCAGACTTCATTACAGTGCCAACCAGGTAGCAGTACCTTGTAGGGCTGGGGCAAGGTTCTCCAGAAGATTGTATCTGGTTTGAAACAGCGTCCAATTATATGGTGCTGTTTCTCCCCTAGCCAGGATTCACGGGTCCAGGAATCAAGGGTAGAAATGGCAGTGACACCCCTTACTATTACCGCTGGTGACCCACTGGCAAAATTTTTTCTTCCTGTTCCTGTGACCCTGTGCTCTTCTGGCCTAGAGGCCTTAGTTCCAAAGGGAGGAAGGCTTCCACCAGGAGACACAATAATGATGCCATTGGACTGGAAGTTAAGTCTGCCCCCTGGCCACTCTGGGCTCCTCATGCCACTGAATCAATAAGTGGAGAAGGAGTTTCTGTACTGGCTGGGGTGACTGATGTTGATTAGCAGGGGGGAACTGGACTACTGCCCCACAGCGGAGGTAAGGAAGCGTTTGTCTGCAATACAGAGATTACTTAGGGCCTTCTTACTGTTACCAGGTCCTGTGATTGAAGTCAATGGAAAACTACAACAACCCAATCCAAGCAAGGCCGCTAATGGTCCAGACCCTTCAGGAATGAAGGTTTGAGTCATCCAACCAGGCAGAGAATCATGCCCAACTAGGTGCTTGCTAAAGGCAGAGGGAATACAGAAGGGGGAGTGGAAGAAGGTAGTTATAAATACCAGCTACAACCATGTGACCAGTTAGAGAAACAAGAACTAAAATTGTCACGAGTGTTTCCTCCTTATTTTGCTTTGAACGTGCATGTGTTAAGCAAATATCTTTGGTTTTTTTCCCTCTCTTATTCTCTTACAGTGTAACATAAGAGGTATTGATTTTATATTGTCGTATTTTAAGTATTGTTATTTTTATACCATAGTACTTAACTTGTGGGATGTCAAGGATGGAATCACTCAAAGACTTTAGCTCCTCTTCTAGGAGGTTGTACATGGAATAATTAGTTGTATCATGTTAGGCAGAATTATGACCTTGTTACTATCTTTATAAGGAGAGAAGTACTATTTAAGGAGAGGTGTATGGAGTTGCAAAGAGTAGACTGTGATAGTTAATTTTATGTGTCAACTTGACAGGGCAACGGGATACCCACATATTTGGTTAAACATTTTCCTGGGTATGCATGTAAGGATGTTTCTATATGACAGTAACATTTGAATTAGTAAACTTGTGTAAAACAGATTGCCTTCCCTAATTTGGGTGGGCCCCATCCAATCAGCTGAGGTTCTAAATGGAACAAAAAAAACCCTGACCCTCCCAGGAACAGGAGGGAATTTCCTGTGTCGAGCTGGGTAATTGATTTTTCTCCTGCCTGCAGACTCAAACTCAAACGTGGGCTCTTCCTGATGGATCTTGAGCCTGCTGGCCTTCAGACTGAAACTATACCATCAGCTCTGCTGGTTCTCCAGGCCTTTGGACCCAGGCTGGAACCACATTGCCAGCCCTCCTGGACTTCCAGCTTGGTGCCTGCAGATCTTGGGACTTGTCAGCCTCCATAATTGTGTGAGCCGATTCCTCATAATAAATCTCTTCCTATATGAATATACATCCTATTGATGCTGTCGCTCTAGAAAACCCTAACCAACACACACACACACACACACACACACACACACACACACACACACACCTGCAAGGGCAGTGTTATTCCAGTGTCATTGTCATCAAAGGAAACAGGAAGTGGTAGCTATAAGAAGTCTGCACCTGTCCCTCCCCACCAGGTGGTAAAGTTTGCTGCCCCTGTACCTGTACCTGCGATGACTGTCCCCTTTAGTGCCTACTCACATCAGGGTCCAGCTCATCCAGCTCATTTTCCAGGGTCCTGAGTTCTTCCTCTGTTAGGGCTCTGAGGATTTCATCTTCATCCAGGTCACGGTATTTCTCTAGTTCTCTTCTGTATGACATTGTAAGAGAATGTGTGCTTGTCTTCTGAGTTTCTGAGATCTATGACCTGCCAGAAAGAGAAAAATCTTAGGAAGATCATTCTTGGATTTTCTCTCTCTGACCAAATCAATGCTTGTCATTTATACGGTGGCTGGGCATGTTCTATGAATCATCAGGATGATAACTAGTAGAGTGGAATGCTGCACTAAGTTGGATTAATTCTCCAATAAAACTGTGCAAGGTAAAAACCCTGATGGCATGTGAATGAATAAATTGTAACTGGTTGCATTGGCCCGGCCATTAATTCCGAATAAATAGGTGATTGGAAATGGCTTATGAGTGCCTGAAAACTCAACTCTTCTCCAAGCAGTTCAAATACTTTCTGTACAACCCCCCACCCTTCACCTCATGCCCTGATGGAAAACATGAGTTCTGGAAGCTCTGCCAAACCTGATTGTGTAAGGGAAGGGGTATCAACTCAACACCTGCTGCATGCGGGTCCTTCACCTGTAACATCTCAATCGACCCTCACAAAAAGCAGCCAGCAATAACAGTTAACTTTTACTGCCATATCCAAGCCCTACATTAAACACTTTGCAAGGATTTTTTTTTCTTTTAAAAAATTTTTTATTTTAGAGAGCGAGCGAGTGGGGGAGAAGGGCAGTGGAGGGGAGAGAGAGGTGGAGAGAGGAGGGGAGAGAGAGAGAATCTGAAGCATTGAGCCTGACATGGGGCTTGATCCCCAGACCCTGAGATCATGATCTGAGCTGAAATCAGGAGTCGGAGGCTCAACCAACTGAGCCACCCAGGTGCCCCAAGAATTTTCTAATTTAACCTCTCAGGTAGGTATCTGCTGTTCTCCCCATTTTACAGATGAGGACATACAGCTCAGAGAGGTTGAGTGACTCGCACAAATCACACTACCAGGAAGTGCCAGAACCACCATTTGTATCCTGATATGCCTTAAGCCCTCTGTCCTCCCTCTTGGCTAAAACTGATAACAGGACAAGCCTAGCTCCCATATCACCTCCTCTGTAAAGCCTCAGTGTCCCCTCACTGAGCAAAGCTCATCATGGCCCTAGCGCTGGGTCCATACCTCTCCACTCAGCTCACATCCATCTTCCGTGGCTTCCCCAGGGGCAGGGTCTCAGTTTGCTGCATCCCCCCCCTCTCCCCAAGGCCCAAGTCAGGGCCACACAAACAACAGAATGTTTTGTTTTGTTTTGTTTTATTGAAATGAACCCGATTCCAGTTCTACCTGCCTTTGTTTACCCCATCAGACAGCCCTAAGGAGACCCTAGTCTCTTCTCCTCTTGGAAAATGTCAGCTTGCTGCAGAAGGTGCTAGCATCTCTGTGTTCAAGCCTGTTCTTACCTGTCCTACGTAAGCTGAGCCGTTTACCCTCTTTTCTGAAGCTGATGGGCTAAAAAGTGAGGCAGGAGCTCGGGGCTTCCTTAGACTCTGCAGAATGGAATATACTACTGTGTCCAGGATTGGTGTTATGGGTTGAATCGTGTGCTCCCCAGTTCATATGTTGAAGTTCTAGCCCCCAGTACGTCCATACGCCAGCACCACACTGCAAGGAAGAATGTGATGTGACTTGGAAATAGAGTCCTTGCAGATATAATTAGTTAAGTTCACATGAGGTCATACTAGAGAAGCGTGAGCTCCCGATGCATCATGACTGATGTCCTTATGAAAAGTGGAAATTTGGATGGACACACACGCAGGAAGAACACCATGTGAGAGTGAAGATAGAGATCAGGGCGATGCTTCCAATGAACCAAGGAACGCCAAAGGCTGCCAGAGAACCACCAGAAGAGGAGGGAGAGGTCTGCAATGGACCCTCACAGCCTTGGAAGGAACCAACCATGCTGACACCTGGATCTTGGATTTTTAGCCTCCAGAAATTTGAGACAACAAATTTGTGTTGTTTAGGCCACTCAGTTTGTGGGATTTTGTTACAGTAGCCCCAGCAAACAAATACAACCAGTATCTCCTTTGTCACAGCAGTTTTTGTTTTTAGACCCCTATGCAAACACACACACACACACACACACACACACACGCACGCACGCACGCACGCACATACAGCATGGCTCATCCATGAAATGACTGATGGGATTTTCCAGGGTAGAGAGAAATGAAAGCCAGGAAAAGACGACCAATGAACCAATCAAAAGCTGGAATAGTTGTTAACTAAGAACAATTCGTGTACTTAAATGAAAATCAAAGTTCGCTAAGCTGACAGATAAAGCCTCCATTTCAGAAAGGAGAGATGTGTTATTAATGTAAGTTTGTACACATGTGAGCATATTTGTAGGAGAAATATGACAGCTGGCCTGATAAGAAAGGACTTGATTTCCAAATACAGAAAACCCCAATGCCATCCTTTCCTCTAAGAATGGATTGGATTAGCCTGATGTCTTCCTTTGCCCAGACCCCAATGCAATGTTCAGACCATAAATGGGTCCCCCTTGATTCATTTCTATTTACTTCCAAAGAAAGCACAAGCAGCTGACAATGCTCTGGTATAGATGGAAAAAAAACACCTTCGTGAATGTTCTCAGAGAATAACCTAATTTGGCTTTTCTTGAGTGGAGCCAGGAGAGGATCTATGGCTGAAAGGGACCCTAGTGAAGGGTTCAGAGGCTTCCAGAACTAACTCACAGAGACACCTTTGAACTAGCTGCAAAACACGTTTTTTTTTTTTGGCTCTCAAACAGATTTCGTGTCATACAAAGTTCCACAGGATTTGAGACCACAGAATGTCTCAGAAATTTTGGTATGCTTCCACACATTGGGTGTCTTCAGGAGAAACAGGTTATAAGCAGAATTTTCCTGGTCTTTGACCATGAAACCATGTGTCTGAGGAACTGCTCCTGGGATTGGGATCCCATGAAACAAAGTTTGGGTAACAGCCCTAGCCTCACCTCTGGGCCACTCAGACTCACGCAAGAAGGGACTTGGGGACAGGATGAGCTGGGACAAGTTTGGGACCCTGGGAGCTTCCCAGTTTGCCAGCTGACCCATTTCCTAGGTGATATGCACTCTAATCCTTAGAAAAAAGTTATGGATGGAACCTGGAGAAGGGATGAGTCAGGACAAGGGAGAGTAGGAAAAGGAGCCATGAAGGAGCCAGAAGAGAGAAGTAGGTGGCGACCATGGGGCCCGCTGAAGAGGGATGGGTTGAGTGGCAGGCCACCTCCAGAGATGCCACCCTGCGGGGTGCAATCATTAACTTTCCTGAAGGAGCCTCCCTCTTAGTGCACACGGGGAAGGGAAGTTGATGTTCCACTTGCACACTCCAAGGTGCTGTTGAATTCAACATCCTTTTTCAGAGGACTTAAAGGCCCTTTCTAATGTCAAGTGTCCTGTGCATATTACGGGGTGATGAGGCATTACATGAAATAAGCTGAGAGGAACAGAGGACTCCTAAGGTAAACCATGAAGCTGTCAGCTTCAAGCCACACTCACCCACTTGGCTCCCAGAAATGGCTTCTCCAAAGCAAGATTCTCCTCCTAATGTCAGTGATGTGGGGAGCTGGAGGTGGGGAAGGGCAGGGTAAGAGGGAGGGGAAAACCACACTCACAGAGCCCACTGTAAGCTCCGCTTTAAAATATGGCTGGAAGAGATGGTATTTCTAGCTGTTAATAAAAGGCCTCCATTTCCTAATAAAAGAGATATTACTGATGGACAAAGGGCTGAGATCCATAAGACTCTGGTTGCAGTCCTAGTTGTGGCGCTAACTCCCCAGGTGACCCTTGCTGAGTTCCTTCCTCCCTTCCTCTGGGTCTCTGTTTGCTCATCTGTAAAATGAGCATAAGCGGACTGCAGACTGGGAAATTCTGCTGGTAACCTACCCTCTTGGAGACATCCAAACGTTGGATCAGATGGGCGGTCTTTAAACTGTGTTCAGGGAGAGCTCAGCTCCTCCAGGGCCCCTGCCGGGGGTTAAGTAGGAAAGGCTAAGTGAGGGGGCTCACCCTGGTTTTGCCTGATTTATTTGGGGCTCCATATCAGACTTCCCTTAAAGAAGGGATTCAGCTACTAAAATAAAAAGTTGACCATCACTCTGTACAGTGAGAGGGTAACCGCACTCGTTCACTCCGCAGGGTGTGAGGATTAAGCGGACACAAGCAGAGAAGGTGCAAAGTCTGGGACTGCTGTGTGGTCAATGCAGGCTCAGCATACTAGTCATTATTATGAGGCTGCTGCTGTCCCTGCCGCTCCTGCCGGGGTCACCTTCCCATCCCCCTCCTGCTCCCCCATGCACTGTCATCAGACTGTAACTCCCCTAAGATAATGACATATGTCTTATTTGTCTTAATGTCCCGATTGCCTAGCCCTGTGCCCGGTAAGTGTGCTAGTAGAGAATGAGCCCATCTGGGTTTGGGTCTAGTGCCCTTGGGCCTTTGGGCAAGTCCCCTCTGTTCTTGGATCCTTTGTTTTCCCATCTTTAAAACGGAAAGATGGGACCAGGTCTCAGAGGACTGGGAACCCAAGAGGGGAGGGGCCGGCAGGAAGGGGGGCGATGAAGCCCCCAGAATGGCCCACCTGAAGCACCTCTGTTACCTGTTTTATAAACTGAATCCTCAGTAAGAGTCAGTGAGAAAAATAAAAGGGCAGCTCAATAAACTTAAAACACATTGAAAAAATTCTTCCAAATCTAGTGTATATATTACTCTGGCAGTACATCTGGCCACCCTGCTTCTCAACGGCAGAAGCCTTAAACCACTGCTCCACGTGAAAAAATAGAATTTACAAGCTGTGCCAGGAAATACAACTAAGCAGGTTGGAGAGTAGAAAAATAGTGGGTCAAGGGCTGAGGCCATCCATCAGGAAGCGTCAGAAATGAAAGCTCTGAGGCGGGGAAGTTCCTGGAGTACCAAATGCACTTTTAAATCTTTCATGGGAAGTGGGTCCAGTCACTTCTGCTAATGGCTTTTCCAGCATCCGTCCCCGTGGGAAAACTCTGGAAAGAGGCGCTGGCGCAGGATCTTGATTTATGGACCGCACT